GGTTTCTACTACACTAAGTTTGTATTTGATACTGTCATCTGTCCTTTGCAATTGGCACATTAACTTGTTTCACTGTGTGGGTATGCAAATTTAAAACTCTCACATCAAAATCACCAGTGCCACAGTACAAACCCGCTTCTAAATAAAGTGATATAGTTGAGCTGGAGGAGAGCAGATGATGAGAACCAGAGATTGCAGAGGCAGCAGGAAAGAATTGGCTAAGGGATGAATTTGGAGAGGATGGAGGAGAGAGAGGGAAAGAGCCACGGGGAGAGGGTTGCACAGTAAGTCTAGCTTAAGTGCTGCATATTTCAAGTTCCCCTAGAGTCCCTTTCCCATGTCCGTCCTCTTTAAAGTGATGAGCTCTCTACATCAGGAGACACAGGATGGCAACTTACAGGAGTGGCCTGAGACAGCAGAAGTTGGAGCTCTGCAGGAAGTCCAGATGACAGTGTGCCCACTTCCCCAGCATAAAGGGTCTGTGTCCAGCACAGGAGGAGGTGAGCCAATTACCACAGGTTTCCCTCCAGAAAATTCTCATTATCAAGGGAATATGTTTCAGGACTGGTGTTTCACAGCATCCTTGTCTGAGGGGGACTTGAGCCAATATCATTTACCAATATCAAGCTACCCTTGAATGTGCAGACCCTGTGGACCAGTCTGCAGGGGAATAACTAGCAGTACTCATTAATCTGTCCACCCTTTAGGTTTCTGATCCTAGTGAAATGTTTCCCCACATGAGGGGAAGGGAGCTCCTTCCTCTCCTTCCTCTCCCTCCTTCCCTGCTGTTGTATTTGCAGCCTTTATTTATCTCTGTGTCCTGCCCATAAGAAAAGACACAGCCCCACTGCCTTCTGGTCTAGTTTATGTGTTTGTGAAGGGGCCTCACTGTAGGGAGTTTCATCAGAACCATATTTGTCTCCTAACAGGAAAGTGACAGCAAGCTGGAGGAAAAATGGGTACCACTTTGGATGGAATGCTGGGACATTGCTCCACTTTGGAAGTGAGTAGGCCTTACCTAGCCTAGGGCACAGTGCTCAGAGGTGGGGTCAGCACTCTTAAAACTACTTTGTACCCAGGTCTCACTGGGTACAGTGGTCAGGCCTAGACAGCCTTGTTAACCATACAGCTAGGGCTTTCCACCAAGCCTTCTGCTTACTTGACCTGCTGGGATAATTGTCTAGAGTGTTGTCAGGTGCACCTGACAGGCAGACAGCCTCTCCATGCAGTGAAGGATGGCCACTCTGAATAGGATGATTGTCAAGGCTCATCTATGGGCAGCACATTGCTGAAAGCATCACTGAGACCACTAGCAGATGCTTAGTTTTTTGTTTCTTGCCTACACTTGACTCTGGCTTAGGGGATAGGAAGAATGAGGCTGATCAGGCAGGTCTGCCTCAATCCCAAGAGTAGGTGGTCACTTAGCTTGTATTAAAGAGGACAAGAGATCGATAGGTGGATAGATAGATAGATAGATAGATAGATAGATAGATAGATAGATAGATAGATAGATAGATAGATAGATAGATAGAAACAGCTATGTCATGGCTACAGAGGGATATTGAGATAACTTGGTGTAGGTGGCACATCTCTCCCCTCTGACCCTAACACCATTGAGAAGGAACACTTTGAATCAAAGATGGTGAACATCTTCTCACAACTGTATGCTGTGACATCCATTCTGTCACTGGCCAGTGACTTAGTCTGTGTTGGGTTCCAGAGACTGGGGAATGGGGATTGTCACAGCCTAGCAAGGGAAAACAGCCAAGAGACAATGACTGCTT